TTTCTTTTTCTGTTTGGGAATATAATTACACTCAAAATGCTTACTCATCCTTTTGCCTGCTTGCTGCCTACTCTGTCAGATTCATTAGGCCATGAAGTGGAAGAGATGAGAAGCCTGTGTCTGTATCTGTCTGTCTGCCTGACTGTCTGTGTGCCCGCCTCTCAGATTATCCTGGATCAGGCAGCAGGTGACCTGGTGTGCAGGTGACCATCACCCAATTACAAAAACAGAAATTTGAGAGGTGCTCCAGCACAGTTTTTTGTGTGTTTTTTTTCTTCTCCTCCACCTCTGAAACTCTTTTCTGCTCCTCGTGTGAAACATTACAGTTGGGATGCAGGAGAACAAGACAAAAGCATGACCATTTTTATGTGCTATGTATAGTTTCATGTTTTAAATTATTCAAAGAAGTTAAATATATTTAGAAATATAATTTAAAGTAACAAAAAAGGTCATCAGATCATCAAAACTAACTGATGTGCAAGTGAAAATTAGAAAAAAAAACAAGTGGAATAAAAAAATGCACGAAAGTGAGAGTTAGAACGACTTTTGTAGTAAACAGGTTGTTCTCTGGGGAATGGCCAGGGGTCGAGTTTCACTCTTTGTTGCCACAAATAAGAGGAAGGTAGAGCTTCTTCTTTGGCTTTGTTAGGTTCAGCCGGGTTAGAATTACCAAAGCAAAGTGATGGGATTTGTGCCGAGGTGTTCATGCATTTTTTTTTCATGCAAAGTGACGGAAGTGCTTTTTTTAAACTGCCAAAGTAAATGTGATGATAGTTTGTGTCTTAAATAAGGAAGCACATCACCTCATTATGTGGATTTTTGTTAGGTGGTGAAGTTACTGGTTCCTATAGAGTCAGGAAATGATTTCCCACACAATGGGGTGTAACTTTAGATCTGTGAGGGATTACCGTACTGTGAAGGCGATTTAGCTTGGTTTAGTAGCTGAACAGACATAGAAGTCTGGGAAATATCTACCCGAGTTTTAGCTGTGAAACATTCTGCTGCCTTTTTGACCTTTGGCTGGTTGTAGAAATGGGGCTTGAAATAGAGGACACTGACCTGGTGTCATGGTCAGACACATTAGCTTACAGTAGCTGCACTGCAGCTGTTCCACTCAGGGAAACGGAAGTGGCGAAATCACCCTGCTGTCCTATTTGAAACAAGTATTTGTTGCCCGTATTAGGACATTGAGACAAATTAATTTTCTCCATGAAAGCAAAGCCTACTTACCCCGTAGTCGTTATTTCCTAGATAAGTCCCTAAGCTTTGTGAGAAAACATTAACCATTTCTAATTTCCATTAACGTAGTGGAGATTACAAGTAAACCAATCACGTTGCAAGAGTTATTGCATTAGGAGTGTTGATGGTAAATACTGTGCCACCTCCATGAGCATCAAGAGCTAATCTGATTGGAATATCCAGACCGGCCATCATGTGTTCCAAGGTGTCGGGTTTCCCGTAGTTCTTAGCTGTACCGTGTCACGGCCATTTGAAAGTGTGACCAAAACTCTGTAGAAGAAATGACTCGTTAAATTAGCAGCTAATACTCCGTTCATTAGCAGCAGTTGCCATCAGTGGAATGCCTTTGATGGTGCTGCTTTGTGTGAATTGCACCCTGTAAGCACTAGTGAAAAAAATCACCCTGGATATTACACAATTACTTTCTGATGGTGCACAAAAACATGCTAAAGCATTCAAAAATGCCTTTCTGGCATCCATTCTGATCCCAGGTCCACAAACAAAACTTCACCTGGCTTCTATAAGTGACCGAGTATACGATGTTGCCCCTACAATTCGAGGCTTTTGGATGCTTAGTAAAGCTGAAGGAAATTGTCCATTGTGAAGTGATATCAGTAACCCTCTTAGGCAAAGCTAGTCTTTGGGGCGGCCCTGAGGGCTCATTTGAAGTGCTTAGCGCTCATTTGGAGCTTTGTCGCCCCTCACCCTGTTGCCGGCGTGGCCCAAGCCCCTCTGGCTGTGGAACAGAGCTGAACCTCTATTCCGGCTCGCCACCAGGGAGGGAGCACTGACATCACAGCTCTGACACACACACATAATCACGCCAATGCTGTGGCACACCTCCATTTTCACATTCCCCCTACCTTCATCAATGCACTACAGCCAATGGTCGTTTTTCCCGCCGTTCACTCCCATCCAACTCCCTCTGTCACCCCCCTCCACCCCTACCTTATTTTTTCTCTCTCTGTTTATCCACCCTCAAGAAGGTTACCAGGCAGCAGAGAAAGACTTCACACACACATACACCCCACTACTTCTCTGAGGGTTTTCCGGATGTCCTTGTTTACATCATGGGGTGTGCAGGTCGTAGGAAGGCCGACTCGCAGCCTTGCTGACCGTGTCTCGCCAAGTCCTATGCTAAACTCCATTCATCTGATAACAATGTCACTAGTTAAGGCAGGCCTAATAAAACAATCCCTGCTCTGACATTATAGTTCAATAGTAATCTTTTCTGGTACTCTTCATTTTAGCAATGGTGTGACATGTGTTTAATTGGACTCAGAGTTGATTTAAACCAAGTTTTCATGGCCTTTATAATCAACAGCAAATTGGGCTTCACTGCTGCCTTTCACTGATGTATACGATAGTTGTTGAGCGTTACAAGGCTGTCTCTTCTCTCACAGTGTCAAACCGATCGATTGGTTTTTTCTGCTCCTCCCCTCTAACTTTGATGTTGTCATTGATTGTTCTCATCTGCCCCTGAACTGAAAGGTTAGAGGAGCTCAGCTTCACTTCTGGATTGCTTTGACCTTCGCTCTGCACATGCTCAGTGGGTTCCCAAACCCCAGAGCCAAAGAGAACACAGCGTAGCCAGGCTCATGGGTGCGTGGCAGCCAGACATTGGCGTGATGTGTGTGTTTGTCTCTCTCTCTCTTTTTTTTTACTCGCCCAGTGAGGATGATGTATATGTGATTGATTTTTCTACTACCCTTCTGTCTGCCATGTTTCTGCTGCAGTGCACTAAGCAGGACTGAGTCCAGGCTTGATCAATGCATTGTTTTTCTTTTTCAATCACACTTGAGTGGGCTGAAGACACGAAAGGTTACGCAGGTGAGGGTTGGCAGGGATGGAAGCGTAGCAGAGCTTCTGGAGAAAATCGAGTCTACGAGTTTGCACGTGAAAAGGGAGAAGTCAAAGCTGACAAAATGTATTGTCTCTAGGACTTAACCTCATATTCCCTCTCACTCTGAGAATTATTACCTTTATGCAACTCTTTGCTTCATGAATTTAATTAAATTGACAGTGTGTATTTTCCATGGCCATAGGGGGCAGTACATACCTAAATATTTGGAAGCAAGCTTTATTTTTGTGATTGAGTAAGACCTTACCAATGGATGGCCATTAGGGTCAAAAATTTTGACCCTACTTTCGAACAAGTACTTCATCAGATTGTTCAACCTCCAGTAAAATGACAAGCACATCAGACTATTTCATTACTGCCAACAGGTGAAGAGGTGTAAAACAACATTTATGAATGGCAAAACCATTTGTTACAAATCAATAAATATGTTTTGTCCTCATGGGCTCCCGTAGAAGAAAGGATTGCATCAAATATGGCACCTCTGAGTGACTTAGACCTGCGCTAATGTATTTTAGACTTTTATGGTTTTGTTATTAGATCACCAGTATTTTTCTACAAACAGGCATCATTTAATTAATTTAAATTTCCAAAGATTAATGATAAAGTCTATACATTGTAACTTTAAAGGTGCTTCCAAAGTGGTTCAACAGCCTGAAATATTATTTGTAGCAGCTGAGAACAAACTTCCTTTTCCTAGTTTCTTTAAAACATGGAGGTTTGATGGGAAAGAGACCCCCCAACTAAGATGCATCTCGAAAATTTCTTCCTTAGTAGCTGAACTCCAAGGCTTAACATCAGACACAAGCATCAGTAATATTGAAACAAAGCACTAAACAATTGGTGGAAGTAGTCTACCCTAAAGGGGTGAAAACCCTTACGTTGTTCTGAATGATCTCTTAGTAACTACGCTCTTAAACGCAATACCCAAACACCTAGTCATTCAGAAAAAGATAAACATCTGTGGGAGTGGAAGGGCCCTCTTAAAGCTGGAGGGGATGAGGATGTGGCGGGTAGGGAAGGTTTAGAGGAGCGGGATGGGGTGGGGGCACAGGCTTTGACCAGCAGGTTTCAGATGTCATGGCAGATTCTTTCAGGGGCAAATTACAGGGTTTAGCCTCTTGTCCTCAGCATGGCAGTGTTCTGGTTTAGCTTTCTTGATAGACACTCGAGCAACGTGCTACTCAACACCATTGTCGGAGGGCACACTTGACTCGGGAGATACTTCAACTCCTCTCACGCTCTCAAGAGCTCTTCAGGACTCTGTTCACAGAGGTTCACTGGTGGCCTTTCATGTTGACTGTGGTGAGAGCGGAGAAGTGTAGCCCCTCCAATGCTTTGTAGTACTTAGCATGTTGGTGTGAGAGGCCCTCATTAACCTCTTAGCGTTATTGTTCTTTAAGTAGGCGCAGGGCTGCTCTACAGATGAGCTTTGCTGTGAAATGGCCAAAGTACATGATTGTAATGACTCAGGTGTTTGCACACGCACGTTTTAAAGTAAAGCAATCGGTGCCCGAGCTGACATAGTTATCCATTTAGTCCTATTTTTTGTCTGATCACAGTTTTTTTTCCTTCAATGTGTGATTTTATTTGTCTGAAACCCCTCCAGATCATCTAAGTCTCCCCCACATGTACACATACAGTGTATTGGCTTTGAGGTGTAACAGACCCAAAGCTCTCTGAAGCATTTAGCAGCAGCTTTACTCCCTGTCGCCAGTGTTAAGAGGAGTGCTGAAGCATCTAATGCAATTTCAGCCCAACATGGCTTTCTGTGAATAAGCACCACTGAAGTGAACCGTCTACTGTACGTGGAGCTGCAGTGCACTTTCCGTTCTGCTCACTAACTCTGCCCCCGTCTCCCACACCCTCCCCCTGTCTCCCTCCCTGACTCTGGTTTCTTTAGCGGCTGCATTTGCCCCCGGACTTGTCCGAGACCGTGAGTCGTGTGAGCAGAGGGGAGCTGGCAGGGTCGCCTGTTTCAGCCTGTGGCTCCGGAGCTCCTGGCACCAAACACCTGGACTTCTAAAGCTCCCCACATAGTCGCCAAGGGAAACCAACTACTGGAAAGCGGCTGCCGCTGTCCTCTTCACCACGGTGACCAGGATGTTCCCACGTCCACGTGATGTCAGCTGCGATAACCCAGCCAGCCATTACCACCTGCCAACGAACCCAGCCAGGAGTGAAGATCTAAACTTCCACAGCACCGCTGCTCACATTAACTCCCTTTTCTGGAGGAATGTACCGCATAATGATGGTTTTTATTTTATATGTTGCAAACATTTCTGTTCCAGAATGAGTGGTACCAGAACTGTTCCCTCACCCTTGACTTAGGGAATTATTGAAAATGAGCTAGACTTTGTTCTTGTTTCACTCTCCCTCTGGGATTTTGATTTCAGGCGTAATCATAAAATATTTTACAGTCTTTACAGACTCTGTCTTGGCGAGCATTCAATAATTTATCTAAGGCTTTCTTTACAAACCAGGAGGCATCTTCTGTGCTGCTTTACATCATTCTGCAAATTTTCTACAACATGGAAAGATGCTTTTTGTGAAATCCAATTAAAGGAGGATGAGTACACAGAATCCAACGTGTGTTTTCTTCTTAGATTTTATTTAGCTGCGCCACACCATCACCTATGGAAAAAAGCAGTGTGTTTTCAGGTGTGCCGATCGGTTTCAGGTTTGTATCGTGTTGCCTGAGTGTGTGCAAGATGGTGATGTCCGCGCCCGCTGAACAGAGCAGAAGGTAGGAGAGCCGGATTTGGGCGCAGGCTTCACACCTCTTCGGTTTGGTTTGCCAGGTGAGTTGCTTTACCATAGCGAGCCCAAAAGACCAAATTAGGTCAGACAGTGACATGGCATAAAGGAGTCGAGATGAAATATTAATTGTTTCTGATTTTGTTTTCTTCAGTCTGACTAACGCCACTTTGAATGTCGCTCCCATATCCGAGAGAGATAGTCACACACACACACGGGTCACTTACACAGGTGATCAGAAGCATGTCAAGATGAAACCAGCTCACTAAGTCATCGGTGCTGAAGGTCTGACATAATCAGGGTGCACTGATCTAAACAGAATAAATTCATTTTTTCAGGTTTTGTGTTTTTTGCTGCTGGTTAGATTTTGTTTTGATTCACTTTTTTATTTGTAAGCTCAGACTGTTCCGCTTTTAGAGTGTGAGTTTCTGCTTCATCTGTGCACTTAAATTCCTTCACCCCATTATTCATACACTGATGCTAGTCTCGGTTTTTTTTTTTATTACGTTTTTATTGATTAAAGTGGCCCTCGGTTGGATAATGGTTGGGTTAGGGGTATGCATTATGGTTTTCCTTGAATGTCTCGGCAGGAGTCAGCTACAAGCATTATCAGCTTTGTTTAAAGATGTTTTTTTTTTGTTTGTTTCTTTTTTTTATAGAACAACAAAAGACAGGTGAGCAAACTCAAAGCAGACAACCCTGAACTTCTGCACAGATAAAGTCCGGCGAGGTTTGTTGTGTCTAATAAACGTTAAAGTATAAAACGACTCAATTTACCAAAACTGATATTTTTAGGATGTTTCTTTGATTTTGCTTGAACTTGTTTGATTCATTGACTTATAAATTGAGCAAATTGGGTTTCACGTCGGAAAAATGGTAAATTGCTTTCTAGGGTTCTACAATCCCCCCCAAAGTACTTCACAACACAATCAGTCATTTACATGCTGATGATGATGAGCCGCATCGTAGCCACAGCTGCCCTGGGGTGCACTGATGGGGCAAGGCAGCTGAACACACACCACCTGCAAAGGCAAGGTAGACTGAATGTCTTGCCCAACGACACGACTGAGACAGGCTGAGTGGGACTCGATCCCACAACCCCCCCATTATGAGACAGGCACTTAACTCTTCTGCCACCATCATATAACGACTTGCATGTATCTAGTATGAAATTTGCACCACTGTATTGGGTCATTTGTAAACCATTTGTTTCAGTGTAACCAGAATTTCCCAGTACCTTATAAAGGCTAAACAGCATGCACGTGTTCCTCTTTCAGAGTCTGAAGCTAAATGTTAGCATTTTGTATTTGTAGATATCATGTTTTTACCTTTATTTTGGGATGAGAACACTTTTATGAACATTCAGTTTCCTACAGTTTTCAGGAAAGTGCTTTATTCTGTACATTAAAAATATTTCTTTTAAAGGCATCTTGGCATCAGAAAGTGGCTCCTGTGCAAAAAGATCCAAACACTCATCGGTTCAAACATGCCTAATTTGTCAGAATATTTCTTTATTATAGCTCATTTGTGTTTTCAGGATGACATTCTTTTAACCCTAACAAAAGTTGGAGCATGAATCCGTGCTTTTGACTGCTATCACAGAAGCTGAATTTTAAAGTAAAAGATGAAGAGGATAACTGAATTAGTTTGTATAATTAATTATCATTTCCTGCTGATTCCTAAGTTTCTGATACCATAAAGGCCGTTTCACTGTAATAGTGTTCAAGTTTTAAAAGTAGAACAGAAACCCTGAAGGCCACTGCATAGCTCAGAGAAATGTTTGGGTTCATGTTCAGGTACACAGCTGCTGGTCATGAAATCAGACTATCATGACAAAGATTTATTTCAGTTATTCCATTGAAAACGTCAAACTTGTATATTAAATTCATTCATTACACACAGATTTATACATTTAAAATGTTTATTTCTTTAATTTAGATTATTATAACTGACAGCTAATGAAAATCCCTAATTCAGTATTTTAGAATATCAGAATGTTGTGAAAAAGTTCAATATAGAAGACCCCTGATGCAACACTCCAACCAGCTAATTAACTCAAACCACCTTCAAAAGCCTCTAAATGGTCTCAGTCTAGTTCTGTAGGCTACACTATCATGGAGAAGACTGCTGACTTGACAGTTGTCCAGAAGACGACCATTGACACCTTACACCAGGCGAGCAAGACCCAAAAGGTCATTGCTAAAGAGGCTGGCTGTTAACAGAGCTCTGTGTTCAAGCACATTATTAGAGAGTTGAAGGGAAGGACAAGATGGTAGAAAAACAAGCAATAAGGATAACTGCACCCTGGAGAGGATTGTGAATGATAAATGGCCTGTATTTGTATAGTAACCCCCCAAGACTCTTTACAACACAGTCAGACATTCACACCCTGGTGGGGATGAGCTACTCTGTGGCCACAGCTGCCCTGAGGCGCACTAACAGAGGTGAGGCCTGCCAAGCACCGGCGCCACCGGTTTATCCAACCAACACCAGCAGGCAAGGTGGGGTGAGTGTCTTACGCAAGGACACAACAGCAGCTTTGTCTGGTCAGAGCCGGGATCGAACCTGTAACCTTCCGATTACTGGACAACTCGCGCTACGTCCTGAGCTACTGCTGTCCCCTCAAATGATTAAAGTAAATATCGCATTTCCTTTGGAAATCAAGGTCAAGGCTTGAGGTCCAGTGTAAGGTCAACACATCCGTCTACCAGGAGGTTTTAGAGCACTTCATGTTTCCTGCTGCCGACCAACTTTATGGAGATGCAGATTTCATTTCCAACAGGACTTGGTTCCTGCACACTTTGCCACAGCTACGTTTACATTCAAGGACCACGGTATCCCTGTTCTTGATTGGCCAGCAAACTCACCTGACCTTAACCCCATATAAAATATTTGGGCTATTGTGAAGAGGAAGATGTAATACACCAGACCCAAAAACTCAGAAGATCTGAAGGCCACCGTCAGAGCAACATGGGCTCTCACAACACCTGAGAAGTGCCACAAACCGATGGACTCCACACCACGCTGCATTACTGCAGTAATCCAGACCAAAGGAGCCTCAACTAAGTACTGAGTACTGTACATGCTCATACTTTTCATGTTCACCCTTTTCAGTTGGCCAACATTTTTAAAATTCCTTTTTTTGCAATGGCTTGAATTGATAATCTCATTTTCTGAGATAATACATTTGTGACTTTCATTAGTTGTCAGATATAATCATCAACATTAAGGAAATAAACACTTGAAATAAGCCAGTCTGTGTGTAGTTAACTAATCTAATATACAAGTTTTACTTTTTGAATGGAATTACCAAAAAAAATCAACTCTGTCATGATATTCTAATATTATGAGCAGCACCTGTATGTTTGACTAGCTTGTAATACAGTTTTAAATACCTTAAAATGTATCCTTGCATTCTTTTAAATGAAAAGCTCGATGTGTTTAGGTTAAAGATTTCCTCAACCTTATGGTTTAAGAACAAATTAAAAGTCACAAAGTTTTCGAAAACTTTTGAAGAAACCAAGTTTGTAGTTAGAATGAAATACACCAAACCCATTTCAGCCCGTAGACGTGTATTATTTAGACTTCCATTAATTGCAGCCCTTTTTGCATTTTGAATGTATCTCTCGTTCTCGCTCTATAATTATTCATGTCCGTCCTCTGTTTCTGTGCAGTTCTGCCTCGTTCTGCTCTCCCAGAAGTGTTCTTCCATTCATGTGATAAAGTGGATTTAATGAATGGAGCTTCTGATATAAAATCTTTGTTTTAAAAAAATCCTACAAAAGTTGTTAGTAATTTCAAATCCTCCAACTTGTGACTGAGCTGCTGAGTGAGAAATTCAATTAATCTGTTTAGGGAGAGGTTTGGTACTGTTGTATGCTGGGAGGAAACCTGACCCCAGTTTCTCCTGGATGTCTTCTCCTTATAGAGATGGTCTCTTGGTCTCCACACACACACACACACACACACACACACACACACACACACACACACACACACACACACACACACACACACACGCATTATCCCCTCCTGCTGAGGCAGCAAGTGAAGCAAAATAACTCACTCTGCCACACAATCGCTCCTCTGCCTTGCTCTAGGCGCTGACTTCTTTATTCCACCACTTTTTTCCTCTTTCTCTCCTCCGCTCCTCCTTGCTTCTGTATTTTTTCATACCATCATAACTCTGCTAAAACTAGAGCCGGCGATGTTGAATTGCTTGACCTTTCTCGTTGTGTGGTGGTGTTTTGTTTTGTTGTGTGGTCTGTGTCGACTTGGTTCAGCCCCACAAATCAGGAGAGGTTTGTTATTTTGGATGCCTCTGCTTGGTGAGGATTCGAGTCGTTACGTGTTTTAAAACGCTGTCCAGGGTCCTGTCGAAACTTTTGCTTCTCGTAGACAAAAAGAAAAAAAAGGCTTTCTTTGAGACACAATTTTACTGTACAAAATGTTTTATAGTTTTCACAAAATACATTTAAAAAGCTCCTTTTTAAATAAAATTAAATTGAAATATTTAAAGAGACAGTGTGTAGACTTGTTTTGTTTTATCTCAGAAGCAATGCTCGGACATAAACCCAGTATGTGTCCATGTTCTACGTACACACTGAAATAAAATTGCAAAACTCAAGAGAGCATGACAGATGATGCTAGAAAAACCCTCCCATGGTCTTTAATTATAAATAAGGACTGCAGCGTTTAACTGCAATCGTACGATCTCGAAGCCAATGTAATAGAACAAAAACGTGGTTACAAAATTTTGTAACACAAGACTAAAATCTTAAAAATAAAAAAAGAACATTGTGTAGATGAAATACAAAGGCTTTGGTCTGTTTTACAATCAACAATGATTAAATCTGATATGTACTTGTAAACAACTGCCAAACACTTAAGTTTAAAACTCTGTCAAGCAATGTTTAATCATAATTATAGGAATTAAATATTTCTAGTTGCACATTTTTTGACCATAGGACACTATATTACAACTATACCTAAGAGACAAATTGTACCTGACCCTAAAGAAATGGTTTTTTTTTCATGATGCATGGAACATTTATAGAATATTCTGGAGGAGGGGGGTATTAATGAAATCAACTTTTATTGGAGAAATCTTTCTGGCAGATTTCTGGGGAAGACAAGTACTTTACATTTTGACATAAACAAACTGGATTATATCAAAGACGCGGTCTACCATTTACAGACTACAGGTAACCGTTTACACCTGTTCTCCACGGGTAATGTTCTTGGCGGAAACCTCGAGTCAATCCAACCACAGAAGCACAGGTTGCGTTGCACTGTTAAATCGTCTATGCACCAATAGTGATCCGTGTCTATTAGGAAAGCAAATGCAGGCCAGAGGAGGCAAGACCGCAGCCTCGGTGAGTGGTTCGAGATTGAGCTTCCTTCTCTAAAGATCCATTCGTAAGAAATAAGACCAATAAATAGTTTTCTTTTTTGTGTGTCACAGTAAGAGTCTTCCCTCCAGCTTTTCATCTTTAATGATATGCAATAATGTCCAGAGACCATGCAAAGGCTGGTAGAAAGTCTCGATATAAGCAGGTTCAAAGATAGTCATGGCAGAATCTCCCAGCTTCTCCGCTCGGAAACAAAACGCAAAACCAACATGGTTTTCTAGCAGTCCGTCTATCAGTTCTTGATCTTGTTTTTTTTTCCTTTTATATTAACATACAAATGGCCATTTACAAACACATCAGAGAAAAAAAGGAAACAATGACTGGAGTTGGAAATAGAAAATAAACAAACAGATAAGATTTTTTTTTTTTGTTCCATAAAAATGTAACACCGGGCACTTTACAGAGGTCCATGTCTTTTGTTTTTGTATTTTTTTTTTCCTGGCTTGCCATTGTTGGTTTCTCTTGCAAGTCCTTGTTTGAATGAGCCCAGGTCTACATAACAGCACACGGTCCCACTGGAAAAACCAAGCCCAAGCGTCCCAAAGCTCTCCCAGAGTTTGTCCCGCTCTTTCTTCCTCTCTTCCTTCTGTGTCTGTAACCTCTCCTCACCCCCCCACCCCCCTGCCCCTCGTTGCCTTCACTACTCTGCGCTGCCGGAGGGCCATGGTGGACTGGGTGCTTACAGGGTGAAGTAGCTCTTCTCTCTACTGTAGTCTTGACCAGTACTGAGACATGTCGGGTTCACTCCCCGGGACCTGGACAGGGACAGACACTCCAGGAGAGATGAGTCCTGCAGAGACCAGAACAAAGAGAGGGAGAATGTAATTAAACAAACCCAACAAATGCATCTTGAGACATCTAAGTAAAATGAATGGATGCACCATGCATGTTCGGGGTGAACAGTCGGGAGTAGCATTGTGCTTTGAAAGCTTGTAAAGTAAGTGAGGCCGTGGTGAGTCACAATGCCTCTGCACTCGGCTGCTCTGTAAAAGACTTGCAAGCTCGATAAATTGAGGCCACGGCGATGGCATTTAAACAGAGAGAGTACAACAGCAAATGAATCAAATTAATTAGCAATTTAGCACAGAGGAAATGTGGTTATGCATGATTAACTCTTCATGACTATAACCGGTATATATGGCCCTCTGAAACAGCACCCTAATGGGGTGGAACTAAACTATGTGCTGGAGACGTGGGCTTGACATGATGGCCTCGAGTGGCAATGAAACACAGAGACGTTCACGCTGCTGCAGAGACAAACTGATGTCAGACCTAGGAAGTATTGACCCTCAGACATTTAAAGGACCACGTCTCCTCAGACAGACGGGATGGAAGGGTAAAGCGACCGTGACAGGTGATGAATCAGAGATGGCTATGAAGTACTCGCCCCGTTATTACAGAAGAGGTGGCAGATGCTCTTAAAGTGATTGTATTAGTTACCCAGAGATGTTGGTAAACAATGAACTTTCTGCCTACCTGTTGAGGTGGTACCAGAAGTGGTCATTGATTGGCTGTTCATATGTGCCTGCATATGAGGGGGCGTGTATGTGTCGTAGCTCCGCCCATTCACAGGCGGACTGGTAGGCAGCATGCAGGAATAAGAGGAGGTCTGGCTGGGCTATAGACGAGGAGAGAATGTTACATTAGCTTAGCCAACCATAGTTTTCAGATCTCATTTGTTTAATTTTGGTTTTTCCTCTTTTCCTGTCATGAAGCCAATATTTGCTCAGTGAAACTGGACTTTGAGGAAATTTGTTTGCTCTGGTAGAAGTTGAGATTACTGTTGGTGTGTTTGATTCCACTTTTACAAGAAAGACTTATTATAACATGAAGATTTGTGCAGACTTGTACTTACTTGCATAGGTAGATTGTTTGCCATGGAGAAGCTGGGCATGGGCGGCAGCGCGCTGTAGGTGTTTGTGAGTGCAGAGTCAGGTCTGGCCAGCATTGACCCCGAGGTGAAAGACACTGAGAGAGGGGGATAGATAGGAGAGAGGTAAAAATGAAGAACTTAGTTTGAATGTCTGGAAATCTTTCTTACACATGCAGTAGTGTGGTATAGGAGCTCATTAGCGTTCAGCAGTGCATGCGCGAGGTGACGCCTTGTCTAAGCTGATAGGTCTGGGTAGATACTGTACGGTGTGTGTGTGTGTGTGTGTGTGTGTGTGTGTGTGTGTGTGTGTGTGTGTGTGTGTGTGTGTGTGTGTGTGTGTGTGTGTGTGTGTGTGTGTGTGTGTGTGTGTGTGTCAGGTGATTGACTTGTGAGCGTGAGCTTCAGCTCTGCCCGCGTGCCTGATTCAGTAATTGCACAGACAGTCAGCTGTGAGGTTTTGCTCAATCATCCATTAAAAGAAAAGCACCGACGCTTCTCTGGGTGAACTAGAGCGCGCAGCTACCGAGGCCTCTCCCCGGCACTTTAATATCCTTCAGATTGTCCCATTAAGAAAACTGTTGGGTCAGATTTCATGACTTCTGTCTGGTCTGCACTGTAAAAAATAACATGTTTCAACTTCTAAGTATAAATAAAAATACATGTCTAAATGGAAAAATGTTTCTAATCATCACTTGAAAAAAGAAATCTAATATTAGTCTTGAATGGGATGTTTATCAAATCTGCAACTCTATTTAAATTTACAGAAAAGTAAGTCAAAATGAAATAATCTAAAGTCTAATTTTAACATGGCCTGGTAAATAACTTTTTTATTCATACCATGGAGCATTTTAAAATATGTAAAATATAGGGCTGTCAGTCGATTAAAAAATTAATTAATCACACTAATCTCATTAGTCTGTAATTAATTGTGATTAATCGCAATTTATCTGATCATTAGCCTGGCTGCTCTTACACTTTTTTTCCAACTTTATATTTCTCAATGAAAAAACAAGTTGTCACACACTTCATGGAAACTTTCAGAGAATCCACAATTAGTGGCTTTCAAATGGTTTTATTACTTTTTGCAAGTTTAGAAAAGAAGCAGATGAGACAGCATGTGTGATAATTTAGTTTTTCATCTGATAATATTAGAACATGTCAGTAATGTCTGAGGGGCTTTTACAAACACTGTATAACTAATACTCCTGGAGAGGGTTTGGATTACACAAAGGCTTCTGGGAGCCCAGTTATAGGGGTGGGGGTATGTTCTGTTTTGCCTTAGCCCCCAGATTGCCTTGAAACGGCCCTGGGTGTGTGACTTATTTTTGAATGTGATCGGAATTGTATCAGATGTATAAATATTACATGTGTGTAATGTATTGTTTTATACAAGTAAAAACATGTAGTGGAGATAAATCTACCTACATTTTACTTTTCAACACTTTGTTTTGTTTTCTTGTTTTTATTTAACTATTTCCTGTCCTGTCTGTCTCTCATCTTCCTGCATCTCCTCTAAACTCTCTAGAAAATCTGTTGCCTGGATTCTTACTTTTTCACCTCATCAGTACTTTTGAGCAGATCAAAGGGATCTCCTGACCGCAAAGGGGAGAGCGCGTTTCGATGCTGCGTCAGTGAGGTGACATCACCGCAGCACAGGTGATGAGCTCCGCAGTAGCAGAGCGCTTCAGGCACAAATAAGACAGAAAGTAGAGAACATGTGCGGACATCAACGATCGTGGGTTAATTACAGTTTTTTGGTTGCGCTACTTTGAGAATGGACCGTGCGCTGGACGCAGCTGCCTGGAGCGCTGCGCACCAACGATGTGACCTGAGAGTGAGAATAATCTCTCACAAGGCACTGTGGTTGCAGGGGTTGACAGGTACTTGCATGCAACAGGTGCCAGTCTGGAATGTGCTTCTTCTCTTTTCAACCACCACTGTACAGTGTCCACTATCCATATTGGGCTCTGCTTTGTACAGATCTAGACAGCGCTCCATGGACAGCATTGTCCATGCTAGCAAGCTTTTCCTCTCCTTCTCTTTCTCTGCTGCTGCTGCTTCTAATCATTTCCAGCAGGTCAGACACCAGCATAACGCAATGCTGCCCCCTCCTTCAGAGCCGCTCACGAGTTTGAGATGTCGGATTACGTAAAATTTTAAAAACTGCATTAATTACGTAAATTTTTTAAATGCATTAAACATTTCACATTAATTAACTAAATTAACGTGTTATTTTTCACCGCACTAGTAAAATATCTTCTATGAGCAGCAGTTAATGCTTCTTCTTTCATCTTGGAAGAAGGATTTGAAGCTTTCCCAAACTAGTCTTCTGCTTTTCTCCTTGTCTGGTTTGATGACGTCAATTTGACGAGACGAACATTTGTAGTCCTATACGTCTTTTCACACAAAACCAAAATGTTTTTACCACCGTTCGAGGCTTTCACGGCATCAAAATGTGTCTTTAAAATACACAAACACATGTAAAATCCATGGCAATTTATCAAGTGGAATTAGAAAATAGTTTTTCTTATTTCCGGGATCCCATGAGCCCACCGGAAAGGGAGGGACTTAGACTCCATGTGTTAGACAGGAAGATTGTTTTTTAATGCTTTGTGTTGTTTTTACAGCATTTTCATAAAATAATGGAAAATAAACAATAAATAAATACAAACACTGAATTTTACTAACAGACTGAAAAAATAGGTTGAATTAAGCAGGCCGAAGTCCGTTTTACAGTGCGCTACAAATATGATGAAATTATTTATTTCGGCTTCTCTGCGACTATAGAAGCTGACACGTGTGTTGGCCCTAACTTTCTACTTTTGTGGTGAACCTACCTGGCGTGGTGGGCTGTGGGATGGCCTGGTAAACGCTGGTGCTGAAGCTGCTGCTGATGGGGATGTGGCTGGAGGAGTTGTTGGCCTGCCGACGCTGGTTCCGCAGCTTCTCCTCTCGCCTCCACTTTGCTCTTCTATTTGAGAACCATACCTTTAACAGAAAACACACGTTGTTGAGCTTTTTATTTGAGTTCCGTGCAGACAACAGTCTTGTTTGCATAAATAAATAGATGCAGTGACTCACCTGTATTCTTGCCTCGGGAAGGTCTATTTTCGCTGCCAGTCTTTCTCGCGCAAAAACATCTGGATAGTGAGTTCTTTCAAATTCTGCAACAGCAGTAATAAAAAGAGAATGGAGATGTGGGTGAATACCAACACGTGGTTAAATGCGTTTTGAAGGCCTGCGTTTAGTCTTGGCGCAAATTGTTGTAACTTTTATTTTTCACGTTTTTTAATCAGACCATACATTTTAGAATTATTGCTCCTATGAGTGTCGGACCTTTCTCCAGAGCCTCGATCTGCTCCTGCGTAAAGGACGTGCGGTTTCTCTGGAGCTTCCTCTTGAGCTGCAGGCGCATCTGCGTCTCCTCGGAGTCCTCCCCGTTGGAGCTGATGGAGTTGGTGTTTTCTCCCGCTCCGTCCTGTTGTTGGCAGCCGTCTGAGAGGCGGTGGGGGAGAGAGAGACAGAGTGAGGGTGAGGAGAGAAAAACGCTTAATGGAAATATACATTCACTTAAGCTAATTGAATAATTAATTATCGAGCCTCGTGTTTCATCAGTCTACAGCTAATTGTACAGAGCGCAGCGCTACATCATTAATTAAGCCTCCCCCCTCCCATCATGGTTAATTTAATTCCAAATCGGAGGAATTATTGCAATTTCTTCCCTAATGTTGCCAGATTACCGGCGCGTGAAGAAGGAGTCGCGTGTGTCAGAAGGTTTGACTGTTTATAAAATATTGTGGGAAAAACAGGCTGGAGAGTGAGAGATTCTTATGGCGGAGCAACAATACTTTGTGTTCTCTAAAGGTTAAGAGAAATGTGTCAAGATGTGGCGAGCCCCTTTTCAGAGAAATGTTAAAACCCCAAACTCTGCATCCCCCTTCGCTCTTTTCTGGGACAGAGCAGAGCTTCAATGGTGGCTCCCATATGGGCGTTGGTAGAGCCATTGAGGTGACCACCAACTTTTGAATAGAAGAAGACGCTTTTCAGGATGATACAAAGCCTTCAGGAGTAAGGGAAACCATTAAACTATGGACACAGCCAGAGACGACCAGCGAGCCCTCGGTGAGTGTAATATATGGGAGGGAGGGAGAGGGAGGGGAGGGTGAGGGACCATTGGAGATGACAAAAGGATCCTCTCTCTGTGGAGGCGCGCAGGCTATAGAGCTTTGGCATTGTGCGCACGAGGATCCCAGTCAACAGAGCTTTGAGTCCAGTGTGTTAACCCTTATCCACTACCATCATTAATCACGTCCCCCGGCCAGCTACGCCAGTCAGGATTTCTGTCTTCAATTGGAAACAAACGAGTGAGGAGAGAGCATGCAAGGCCCCGAACAACCAAAATAAGGCCAATCTATTCACTGCTGCTGCTTGTCCGTGGTGGGCCCAGAAAGCCCCTTCGGGCTACAGGGCGAGGCTTATCGACTAATGTCTGTCTTGTTGTTGGACATCATTATCACACCGAGAAGTTAATGTGAAATTAAGCAGCAGGCGCGCAGATGGCGGGAGGTTTATGTGACATTTCAGGCATGTCTCTGGATGAATGTTTGTTTATGAATGTGAGCACGTGAGGAGGGACAGGTAGTATAATATTAATAATAATAATAATAATACATTGTTTTTTGTCGATTTGCTGCATAATAGTCAGACACTCTTTTTATTATAACATGGGCTATTTGTTTCTTTATTCCAGATAATCCATAAAAAGGAGTGAATGTGTTGCTATTATCCGTTTGTCAGACCCAGTGACGCTCGGATAGGATTTGTTTTCTTAATAAAAGCGCTTGGAAATAAACTCATTCTTTAGCATCACGATGTCTCAGTCAGTGAGGCGGAAAAGCAGGAAAAAAAGAGGGGGGAGATACCGAACCAATTGCGGCGCCTTTCAGCTACCGAGACTGGATCAAAACGCTCTTGAGAAACCGCTTAAAACTGAAAGAGAAAGTGAGAGACTAAATCCTATAGACGGGATTTGGAGCCACGTAGCAAGCCAGAGGCAGGGAGACAGAGATGAAAGACTTTTTCTTTTTTCTTTCGTTTTTTTTTTTTTGTTTTTCTTTGGATAGAGTTGTCTTCTTTTGGGGGACCCCTCACTCCCAATGTTAACTTTATATGTGCTTACGTCACCGTCTGCTGGGAAACCAGTTGAATAATAATAATCATAATTCATAATATTTCAAGATTCTAGATAATTTATTGATCATTTATTATTTTATAATAAAGCTAATGTATTAATAATAATAATAACAATAATAATAACAACAACAACAATAAGTAATAGTTATTTTTATTGTTGTTGTTATTTTTATTCAACATACGAAATCTAAATATTATAATTAGTATAATGTATGACAGAAATTTAAACAATACCTGCATAGAAGACTGTTATATAATAATAATAATAATAATTATTATTATTATTATTATTATTATTATTATTATTATTATTATTATTATTATAGTAATAATAATAATAATAATAATAATAACAATAATAATAATAATAAGTGTCGTCAATTTGATTTTACGCTTAGCTTGTTGCTGACAGCGTCACGTGCCCAATTGATCTTGTTCATTTGCATGCCAATTGACTAAAATCCGACCATTTCCGCTCCATGTGACGCATAAAAATCAAACCCAACGTATTCTGCATTAAATGCTTTTTTTAAGCTACATTGTGATGTCTCCTAAACAAGAACCGGCCGTGCAGCGTCGGGCCTGCGCGCCCCCACAGGCCCACGTGAGAGGAGGAAAGCCCTCTGAAGTGGAACATTCTCCACATCAGCCCGAGCATCTCCACACTCCTCCTGCATGCTGCCATAATGAGACGAACCCCCCCCCCCCCCCCCCCCCCCCCCCCCCATGAGCAATTACACGTAGTGCGGGCCGTTCCCATAACCAATCATTGCGTGTGAAGGAAAACATTCCTTTGTACTAATATCCGTGCACCCCCACCATCACCATCACCACACCGCCGGTTCAATCTCCTCATCGGGAGGGAAGGAAAAAGTGGACTGCTGGGTGGACACCTCTGCTGAAAAGACAGGCCACTGTCACGCACATCTACGTCTGGGACAGTGGAGGCATTCAGACCGCATGCATGGCTTTCTTTTTTTCCCCCTGATCGACAAGTCTTAATTGGTGGGGTGGGGCGTCAGACTTGTTAGGGACATCAAAAACGCGCCATAATACCTGCCTGTGCACAGCCACTGCATCTAACAGCCGAATGCGTAAAGGTGGCTCGTTCTTCGTGGTGTGGTAATGAGGCTCACCTTGGTTGGGCTGTCCTGGCACCGATGTTCCGGGGTACCAGCCGGGCCGGGTCCCCCAGGTTCCTGTCTGACCGTTGAGCATTCTCAGCTTGTCATACATGCCATCTGCGCCCATCTGTTGCTTTTCACTAGCCAGGTTGCGAAGGACTCTGTTTATTGATGACACCTGAATGACAAATTACATATGATCAAAGTGAGGATTGCAGATGCAGAGCCGTTTCTGCGTGGGGTGGGGGTGGGGGGGGGGTGTGGGGGGGTCCCACCCCTCCCACTTTGTCCCACCCCTCCCACTTTGTAACGCTGTGTTTAATAAGGCTGAATGGTTGGATGCCCATCTCCTTTCCCCCCACTGCATGAGAAAAAAGTCATTTCATGTGGCAAATTAAATCATGCACACAACTTCCAGTCAATACTTACGCTGGGGATGTTGTCGTTGGTGCAGATCCCCTCCGACAGGAGCCGGTCGCGGATCTCCCAGGCGAAGATAGACGGACACTCCCGCTTGTACTGCGCGATTTTGGCGACCACCTCCGGTGTGGCGACCCTAGGCTTGCTGCCGCCGATCGCTCTCGGTCTTATGGAGCCCGTTTCATAATATCTGCCCAGGATCTTGCTCACGCAACCGTTGGACACCTGGGCGGGAAACAAAAAACACAATTCACATACATTATTTATGACTATTGGCGGAATTTCTAAGATGGCTCAAATAAGTTTCACCTTTTCACTGTCCAGCACTTGGACTTCATCATGGGTCTATAAACACAGAAAATATGCCTTCAATTGTAAAGTAGGCATTTTTTTCTATATTATAGCAGGCAGAATACTTTCCCGTTTTCTTTTTTTTTTCTTTTTGCCAGTGTAATTACATTTGAATTACAGGTTATTACCAGTAATTTACTGCCTCACAACTAGCAGAGGACGGAACCTTTATGCTACAGGAAACGCAGCAACATGAGTTACGTTTAAAGTGGTGAATCGTTTCCATTTTTGCTCCACGAGTTCATTTTCAGACTGTGGAAGAAAACAGTCCGAGTGATTTATTTTATTCATTTATTATTTTTAATTAGAAGGAGTGTGTTTGGTACCTGTAGTATCCTGGAGATGTCGCAGGGTCGAGCACCACTGTGAGCAAGTTCAACTATTTTCTGTCTGGTGGAATCCGGCAGCGGTCTGCCATTGACAAAAACACCACCAAGCTGGTTCACGCCACTGTGACCTGCGTGGAGACAAAACAAAGCAGCGGAGTCATCGCATCACCCCCAGAGCAGCAGGGAAACCGAATAAATTATGATTTTATGCAGGGTGGCTAAAAGCGTCAAAATGAGATAAACACATTTTAAAAGTTTATTTATGTGGTCAGGAATGCTTCAAATCGCAGGTACAGTCGTGAAACACGAATTCCAGGAAGCTGCGTCAACACCCTCCTCTTAACGCAAAACATTTGCGCACTTTTCAAGCAAACACATGCACATCGTCATCAAAACACAGCATCACACAAACCTTAAGCATCTTCAGAAAATTAAAAAATAGCAAATAAACAAATGAGAGAATCACCTGCAGCCACAAATTGTAACTAACAATTAATCATCCCGGTACATTCCGGTGTTAAAGCCCTGGCACCGTTATCCATCCCCTCACCAAGACCAGCTCACCTCACTCACAAAACCATCCGCTATGATAAACAGCAACACTAGAAATCGCATTAAAAAGCAAACCGAGCGTGTTTGTTTCAAAAGCAACGATTATTAGTAAAATGACTTTTAATCCTTTGCTTTAAAATCTGTCCAAAACGCACAAATTACGCACACAACAAATGCAACCAGCAATGAGGAATTAGCTGCAAATAAGCGATTTAAACTAAAGCTCTTTGTCTAAAATGAATCATATTTAACATAATATTTCTAAACTGTTGTAAGGGTAGATGCTAAAGCACAGAATAAGCCCGCAAACCTGAAGCCAAATGGGAGAGCTGACTCCCTGGAGTGCCTGAGCTGCTCTCTGTCTGTCCGCTCCCTTCTCCTGCGCTGCCGCCCGCTACATTGACTCCCGGAGCAGAGGCTCCTTAGCAATAAATAAGCTCCAAATATAGAAGAGGGGGAAAATATGATGAGCCTGCCTGACATTTGTCTTTAAAATAAAGCTAGCTGCACGTCAAGTTTGAGCTTAATTTCTGGAAATAGGCGGAAGTCGCCTCGGATCATGCATGGGAGGCTAATTGAAAAGATCAGTTGGAGCACTTGTGGCAGGCATGTCACTTTATGACACCGCTCTGCTTTTGAAAATCGCATCGTCACGACAAATAGTAGCATGATAAAACGACCCTTTCTGTCTGCATTTGGATATCACTCAGACAAAATTGGACGCTACTCGTTTACCCTCCGAGGGAGACTTCATTTTAAGGTGGCCAGGGGCTACGCGCGGCCACACAAACGAGGGCGCGCCAGGATTTTAACATATTAAAAGTGACAAGCACTTTTTCTCTCTCCTCTCTCCCCCCTCTTGTTTGTATTTGACAACAAACGCTCACAGCCACTGCAGTCCTGTTGTGCGCAGTCTGTGGGTGTTTTACTCTGAAATGCGTCAGCGTCACACTTAATTTATAATAATAATAATAAAACAATATATAAGCTTCTTCTACTTGACTGGATATAAACCCTTTTAACTGACTGGCATATCCCTTTTGGCCGCAATGTGTAATGATCTGCAGCGTGGATCTGATTGACGGTAAATCCATTATCATCCCTTTTGCTCTTTGGTAATTCCAGGATTAAGTGGAATTAATAGACTTCTTAGGCTGAAATTGGCCTGCTCTGATGCGGCTCCAAAACATAAATCCACCAAATCGATAAAAAACAACCCGTCAGATAAGGACATCACATAAAAAATCAAGATGATAAAATAAGGTCTTAATCATGTGCGCAATTCCCTCAAGTGTCCGGAGTCGATCTCGCCCCGCTGGCGCTGATTATGCGCCTTGTATTCTATTGCAAGTCGACTAATAGGAAAACATATGGTGTCAATTTGGACGCTCCCCTCCATATACACCCAGGAGTTATTAGCACAAAAGCGCGGCGAGGCCATCGCGACCTTTAGACAAACCCAAAGGGCCGGGCCCAATGATATCTCCGCGGCAATTCGCACCAGACATCACACGCCAAGCCAGGGGAGCATCCCATTAACATCAATCCGCTGCAAGAGCACGCAGCGCAGGGTTTGATAAGGCCCCCATCAGCTCCACGACTGACAAAAAAATAAAAATAAAAATAAACTACCCACAGCTCTAAATAAGGTTAGTTTCCATCACATGAACCACACCTTTACGCACCAAATCAAACCAACTGTCACGTGTTTGGGCTAGAATGATTACAGCACAGACACGAGGCGAATAATGTAATAAAATCATTCCACACACCTTCATCACTGATGTCATACACCTCTTGTCCAGCAGCAAGAGAGAAAATGTTTCATGTTTATAAGTTTTTATATTCAACACCATGTTCTTGTAGAAATATATCTGCACTTCTGTTTCATATTTAACACACACACACACACACACACACACACACACACACACACACACACACACACACACACACACACACACACACACACACACACACACACTGCTGCAGCCAGAATGAGTGAAGCAAGTGGGGTTTATTATTTTTTATTTATTTGTTGTTCATGCTGCCTGCGCAGGAGGAATATATGGTCTGATCTACATAAGACATTATCGCTGTTCCTCGTGTTTCATGCAGGGCTTCTTCCCTTCTCTCCTCTCGCGCAGCTAATCTCGTATGCAGCCTGGCAGCCAGCTCTAACGCTAATGCAGACGGCTGTGCAATTATTTAATAGCAACTCAAGCAGAAACAGAATTCTCCCTGTCGACCCAACCCCCTCTATTCTCCATCCTCTCTCTCTCTCTCTCTTCCCCTCTGGAGAAACACGACGTGTGATTAACTTGTTCAATAATAACTCGCCTATCATTCCAAAATAGTAAATTAAGAGCAATGAAACGGCCATCAAACATAATTTCTTCCCTGCACCTCCAAATCTCATGCACACCTTTGCTTGCACATTTAACGTTTTTTTTTTGCTTAAAATAAATAAAATCAAACAATTCAACCAATGCACAGAGGGTTGCATTCATGCAACCACAGTAAAAGATGGGTATCAGCAAAACCCTTCAAAATAAAATGAAAAGAACTTACTGTTCTGCATCATTGAGGCTACGCCAGACTCCCACGTGGCTTGGTTGTGGTATTCTGAGCGTCACAAGGAAAATAACAAAACTGGTTAGCATCAAATCACACATCTGTAATGTACATTTCTTTTTATTTTTCTAAAATTGTCATTTTCAGTATTTCCTTCAATTCATTTTCTTTTTTTATCTCGTTCTATTTTTTTCCCTTCGGAGAGATGCAAAGTGAATCTGAACACATCCTCAGTGTGTAAATATGTGGATTTTAATTAAACTTGCCTGGAAACAGAGTTGACTGTCCACTCTCTAACAATTTAGTCAATCATCTGCCGTTTGCACTACTTAATGTCTCCCTATAGGACAAAGCAAAACAACACATTAGCACAGCCACAGCTACACTGATTCACCTCAGACTCCATAAGCCTCGTGTATTATTGTTAGGCCTTTATTTGCAATGAACCTAAATGTTGCTGGAAAGCAAATGAACTGTAATTGACGCGTTTTTATAAAAGCACCTGTCAAAATTAATTCTAATTAGCAGTAATATTGAAACTGTGAAGGATATGTATTATTCAAATAAAGAAGCAGCTCTCGTTTTCACAGTAAGAGGCTTCATTTTTGCCATTTTGCTTTGTTTTTCAAAATAAAAGTTGACATCCCTCCTCTTGTGGAACCATGAAGGTGTAACACACCTCGCCTCAGTGCTCTGTAGGGGGTACATAACTGGGGTGCAAAAAATCCTGCTGCACCCCAACAATGCAACCCCCCCCCCCCCCCCCCTCTCTATTTTCTTCTTTATTTTCTGCCTCCGTGCAAAGTAGGCCTCTGCGACTAGAAACACGCAGCTTCTCCACTAAACACACCAGCAAGTTCAGATTAATACAAAGAGCCGGAGGCATGGATCCACCCCCTCCGGGACTATTCACACACACACGCACGCACACACACACACACACACACACACACACACGGCCGTGACCCCGCTGACTCTGGTAGGTGCATGCGCGTTTTGTTTGCATTTAAAACAACAACAATAATTAAAGAATGATGTAATTTCTCCTTCTAAATATTGCTCGGATCTTTCGGCGCTGCTGGTGTGGGCTGTAAAGCGGGTTTTAAAGACACAACAGCGCAGTGGGGCGCTCAATTGGAAAAGACAAATGCGGCAAAGAAGCCATTGAAAGGAGTAGAACTGATAAAAAGGGGGCCTCGGAGGGAGAGAAGTCTGAAGTTTCCATTTTCTCCCCTCTCCGTGCAGGGTTGTGCAGTGTGCAGAGCACAGCGGCTGCAGGTCTAACAGACGAGCGCTCGGGCCGGGGAGATGCACTCGGCGTCCGCCATTGCGCTCAGATTGTTGCGTTTTTCTTTCATGTTTTAACAAACAAGCTGCTCATTAATCAAATTCAGATTCCTTCACAGCGCCCGGGTCATCCTGGAAAACCAGGGAAAATAAAATCTCACCGTTAAAATAGATAAACCCAATAAATCCCATTAAAGTTTTGTGAATCAGTGGATTTCTGTCAGAAGCCAGTTAATCATTTATTTTAAGGTCGAGAGCAGGGGTTAACTAAGATCTAATCTGTGTTTCTTCCCCCGTAGTTATCCGGAACAACAATGTTTTAATTCAGCAGGATTCTTCTGCTGCGCTTTTGACGTTCTAACTCAGGAATGAAGGTTTATTCTAGAGGCAGACAATTTTCCCTGGATTTGTTTCTATTTTCTAGAATTGTTATGGACGAAAGTGAAGGCAACAGGTTAAAACTGAAATACAAGTGTAAAGTTGTAGTTTATTTATTTGTTATTATTTAAAGGTCTTGTACAAATTCAATCCGTTGAAATCTCAAAATAAAAGTAGATTAAATGACTGCAGCTGTTCATTTTTATTAAAAGCAACATGTTTTGTGTTGATGTTTGAGATGAAAACGTTCTCTCTCTCTCTCTCTCTCTCTCTCTCTCTCTCTCTCTCTCTGTGTGTGTGTGTGTGTGTGTGTGTGTTATCTTCTTTTTTAATTCTTTTGGGAGGATTATTTAGAATTTTCCCACGACCTGACAGCTCCTGCATAATACCAGATTAATTCACTTTTATTTTATCAGCTGCGGGAAACAGTTTAAAACATTTTTAAAACTTGTGTTTTCTCCACAAAACCAACAGAAACGCTTCTTTCCGGGTGGAAAGAGTACTGCATGGGTCTTTTTCTTTTCTCCTGTTGAAGAAGGCGCTTGGGCGACTCGCCTGCATGAATCAATCTGACACCTTTCCTCAACGGGTCATTGCGCTCCATTCTCCACGATGATCACCGTCCTGCGTCGCCCAATGTGACTTTTTTTTCTCACTATTTGCCACCAGAAATAAGCGGCAAGGCTATCCGTGGGGCCTGCGCGCAACAACAACAAAAAACCGAACAGACAAAATCGATAGAGGCGCTAAAAGCTGTTCGCACTTTTGTTTGTCCCTTTTGGAGAGAGTTCAGTCAGACAACAGGCTGCACAGTCCACACGATAAAACACCGATCCTTAATAACAACACCAATAATAATGACATTGACTATAATAATAATAATAATAATAATAATAATAATAATAATAATAATAATAATAATAATAATAATAATAAAAGTACATGGACTTTCATTGGGCTCACCTTTTTGGGGCATCCTGCGTCTCTTCCCAAGTCCTTATTTTAATTTACAACAGTCTCGTTCTCCAAACCAAAGCAGGAGGGATAAAAAAGAAAAGAAAAAGGAAAAATGGGAAAAAAGGCGACCAGAATCAGTCTCTCTCTGGAAGTTTAAACGAGGAAAAATTAGTTTCCAGTGGTCTTCTGCGGAGACGGAGGGGGTATCCCTGCGAAGGAGACAGAGATTGACAGTGAACTCAGATGTCAGGACGCACGGAGTTTGGCGAGGATGTGCGCTGGCGTGTGAGAGAGCGAATGAGAGAGTCAGGGTGAGGGTGAGTGGGGAAGAGAACGAGGGAGGGGAGGGTGGATGGGGAGGGGAGAGTGTGTGGGGGGTGGAAGTAGGTGGGGGTAAAGCGAATGAGCACACCTATGCTGATTGGTGATGGAACAAGTGTATTAATGTATGTGCTCCTGGTCTGATGCGAGCGCTTCGCTTCTCTCCTCCTCTCCTTGTCTTTCCTCGCCTCCCTCCGCCGCTCTTCACTGGCCCATTAGCGCGACCCGACCTCTGTCATCATCCCCCATATAAACACTTCCCCCTGCACCACAGCCTGAGCGGGAAACGAGGCTGAGCCACGGCGACAGAGAGGGGTGAGAGGCAGAGAGAGAGAGAGAGAGGGAGAGAGAGAGAGAGAGAGAGAGAGAGAGAGAGAGAGAGAGAGAGAGAGAGAGAGAGAGAGACTCCTCTTCCCCACTAATCAGCCCACGCATGCAAATACTCCGCGCGCACTTTGCCTCTTTCCTAAAGCACTTCGGACATAGGTTACCAACTGGACGGGAGTCCGCTTAAGTTCATGCACATTTGCTGCTAAAGCTACCGCAAAAGAAAGGAAGTAAAAAAAAGGAGGGGGGGGGGTGGGTTGTAAAGCACTGAATCTCGGAACTCACAAACACCTGCGGTGTGTCTTTTATGCAGGAGTCCATGCCTGCAAATGCATAAAGTTGGCAAAGTTTGTGGATTTTGTCGCAAACCAGAAGCACCATATCTGCGCTAAAATCATACAACAATCCTGCAGCAGCTTGTAAACTTTAAGTGTTCACAAAAATAACTTTTAAGTTTTAGATCAATTGACTAAAGAGTTGGGGAAATTTGGTGGAATTCTCCAGGATTTCAGGACTTCACACACGGGGGAGGGGGGAAGGAAGCCCACCACGTGCTTTTGTTTATTCTTTCAAGCATCACTGTCCCCTGAACACCCTTTACTCCTCCTGTCAACAAGAACGCCATGCGTAGAGAGCGCGGCCCCTTTAGGCAAGCTCGGCTGCTTTTTATGGGCGCATTTTCGAGGCGCGGCCACGTCAACCACCCCCCACCCCCGACCTGACAGCAAATAGCACGTGTAAATAAAGTCAAGCAAATCACTGCGTAGCCATGGCCACACGCTTCCTCCTCCCTTCTCCACGCTACACTCCAACCGCACCGGTCGAATGACCATTTACGCACACCTCAACGCACCCAAAAGCTACCCCTCTGCGCCCGTGTCTGAGCAGACCTTTTTTGGGGTGAGTGTGTGGGGGGTGGGGGGTGCAGCAGCAAGACTAGTCGCCCCCATCCAGAGAGGGGGGTTTGTGTGGATGCTGACGCTAAAGTTGGTGTAGAAAAGGGGGCGCAAGAAAGGGTGAGGAGAGTGAGACGAGAGGACAAACATACGCAAAGGGGGAGGGGAGGGAGGGAGAAAAAGATCCAGTTTACAATTTTTCTTTTTATTGAAAGATCCAGTTTACAATTTTTCTTTTTATTGGAGAGGAGGGGGTGAGTATGAGGGTACGAAATTAAGTCGTGGAGGCATACACTTGACTTTCTTTGACATGTGAAAAAGTAGGAGAAGTCAAAGCTCATCAATAAAACACTTGGGAGGTGAAAGAGGGCTCCCTAACAACCAGCGCATTCCTGACTGAGAGTTCAATGAGCAGACAAACGAGAGAGAGAGAGAGAGAGAGAGAGAGAGAGAGAGAGAGAGAGAGAGAGAGAGAGAGAGAGAGAGAGAGAGAGAGAGAGAGAGAGAGAGAGAGAGAGAGAGAGAGAGAGAGAGAGAGAGAGAGAGAGAGAGAGAGAGAAGGCCCTCAGTGGGCCGGCGGGATAATGAGCCGAGGGGACCGGCTCAAACTGTCACCCAGGGTCCTGCGGTGAGGAACAACACTCCGGCCAACACTCCCTCATCAAACAACCCGTAAACTAAACGAGCACATTCATCTGTTTCTCCTTCCTGCTTTGTTTCTACTTTCCTCAGACTGGTGGCTCAGCCTATGGGCCCTGCCGTGAATGGGCGCAGCTTATATCATCTAAAACAGGGGAGGAGGAAGGAGGCAGGGAGGGAGGTACGGGGGTTCCCTAGCATTTTCACGTCAAGGACCCCTTCTATTAGACATGCATTAGACCACAAACACCCTCCCCCTCTCAGCCCCCGACCCCCACCCCTTTTGAGAGGAACTGAGTTGCTTACAAAGTGGGAGGAGCTTAACTTTCAACTGTTGTGAAGCCTTAACAGCCAGAGCATCGTTCCAGAGAAACTCGGTGTGATCTCGTGTGAATTTGAAAATTAAAAAATAATATTTCCGTCCACTGCAGAGCTGGACTAAAACTTCCTGGAAAGGTGCAAAATCGCGTAAAGGCGCAAATGAAACGCCCCACAATCGCGCACTAAAGGGCCCACTTTTGTTGTGCAAATGTTATTGGCTCCCACTCGTCACAGGCTGCAGCTGTCAAAAATACACAGCATCAGCCAGCCTCAGCTGAAAGACAGATTCCCCGATGAGAGTCAAGTAGTTTTCTTTGGAAACAAAACCTGCTGCAGGTTATTGGTTAAGCTTTAAATCCACTCCGGTGTCTCCTCCACTCTCAGGAGAGTTTCTGTTTTTCTTTTCTTTGTTTGTTTGTTTTTTCTCACAACTTTCACGGATATTCCAGGGGTGGGCACAAAACAGCTGGACTAAAGCAATTACTCGGACCTTTTCAACATTGCTGCTTTTGTTGCCTTTAACGTGTTTGGAGTTTGCTGTAAATTATTATTTAAAAAAGTAAAAGAAACAGGGGTGGGGGGTGGGGGGGGGGGGGGGGGGGGCAATTAGCCCAATTCGGATTAGCAGCAACTAATGTCACAGGCCTTGAAAGGAAAGCCTAATCTGGTCGCTATTTCCCCCCTAGGCAAGGCTGTAGGAACTTTTTATTACAAAACGAGTGAAAGACAGAAAAAAGTTAGGAAGGGATGTGAAGTTATAAACACTTGCTTTGGGGAGACTGGATAGAGGCTGTAACGCACTGCAGGTTTTACGTTACGTTTCTTCACTGTTAATGAACTGATATGATTAAGTTTTACTTCTTTGGAGGTCTATGCAGTTTTTATTTTAATTGACATTTGTTTGACTTAATTAGCCCCCCCATGGAGGTTACAGTCTGGGCACAAATGTAAGGAGTTCTCTCAGCAATATCACAATTGTCACTCACATTTATTTGCATTTGTAAATGACAAAAATGCTAAAATGCAATTAAAATAAAATTCACGTAATATCTTCATTTTTCACTTTCACAAAACGTTATGCTAAATTGTTTAAAACTCCAAAGAACATAATTAGAAAGTCAGGGTATTTAAAATGATTTATTTATTTATTTATTTATTTATTTATTTATTTATTTATTTATTTATTTATTTATTTATTCATTCATTCATTCATTCATTCATTCATTCATTCACCTCCTGCTGAGGGAAAAAAGGCTAACTTTACTGACATTTTAAACACTCCTGATTTCACTGTTGGGAATTGTAAACACATTTTAATGCCTAAACCCACTGTTTATCTTAAGGATTTATGGATATATTTAGATTTAGAGAATTATCTGCCAGTATTGTGTAATTTTTCTGGAAGCTGTAGGTAATATAATAATGATAATAATTAATTGTTTTGTTTATATTCTATTATTATTATTATTATTATTATTATTATTATTATTATTATTATTATTAATTCCCTAATTTGACCGTCTGCACTTGTAAACGAATTTAAACATTATTTATTTTACAGAAACGGTCAATCATCTTGCGGCCCCTGTTTGTCACATTATTACTCTAAAGACACGCACGAGGATAGCGTCCATTTTTGTTTGCATGCTTTTTGTCCTTTGCACGTTTCCAAAGTGGAGTTGGGCTTTTATCTGCGGTGAAGTTACCGGCAGCTGTTTCTGCTGGTTGTTCACTGCGAGGCGACGCACGCGCGAGCCGCAGAACGAGCTCCGTCAGGTGAGTCGTTCTTCACCAACTCGAGTCTGAACCTGCTGAAACATGAATCCACCTCTGATGGAAAACCGAACAAATAAAAATGTGTTGCTTCCACGTGCTAGCCTTCTTTTGCACGAGTTATTTTTTTGTGACAATAAAAATCACAAAACGGTCACATTTACACATTTGTTCTAATTAATAATTTTCTATTTAAAACGTTTATTTAATTTATCAACAGCTTTAGGTTTGGGGGAAATGCTGGAGACTTGGTGTTACGGTGCACGAAAGCCCTCTCCTGGCAAAAGACTGAAAGCAGGGGTGAACTTCGGGACTAATGGTGTCACAGCGCTGCTCCACAAGCGTGACAGAAAATAATAATCACCGGAGCCAAACACACACGGACATAAATTATAGTCTGGAATAAATAACAAACCTAAGTGAGGCGCATATCATCCGAAGAGGCGCAGTTCAGACGCATGAAACATTTAAAAGGCCAAAGTCTGAGAGCATCTGTGTCGTTGTCCTGGATTATTTTTAAGTCAAAAATCTGTCATCAGTCTGCGGTGACTTGACTGATTCGATGTCTGCAACAAAATCGTTTCTCCGGAGGAAGCAGTCCCGCTGCTGAGCGACTTTCTCACCGCGCGCATGGATCCAGTTAAACCCAAACACACGCAGCGCAAAACTCACAAAAACCCGCAATGATTTAAAAAGTGGTTTGCGCCTAATTATTCAGCAAATATCGTTCAGAATGAAGGATGAGTAGAAAACAAACTTGATGAAACTTTTCCTGCGCAGCAGGATCACAGCGACAACAAACGGGTGTTGGTGTTTTTGGGTTCTTCAGGATAAATGTTGGAGTTTAATTCTAAAAACGGAGCTGATTCCATCCGAACTTACCGGACTGAAGGCAGCAGCGGCGTGTCACCCGTATCCGGTCTGGGCAAAAATCGCCCCTTCTCTCCAAAATATGTTTTTCCTTCCCTCTGTGCCGAAAGAGAAAGGTGTAGGTCCGGATTAGAATCTGCCTACCGAAGTGGAGTTGAAATGTCAATGAGAGTGAGAAAAAGATCTGCGCCTCTTAGCAACAACTTTCCCTTCAGCATCCGTCTGTAGTTGGCAGTGATTGGTTGGAGCGACGGCTCGACGTCATGTTCTAGACGGACGCGCGGAGCGCAGAACTGGGAAGTGCGCAAGGTGGCCTCCATGTGGAGCTCAGCGGCCTGCGCGCTGTGTGTGTGTGTGTGTGTGTGTGTGTGTGTGTGTGTGTGTGTGTGTGTGTGTGTGTGTGTGTGTGTGTGTGTGTGTGTGTGTGTGTGTGTGTGTGTGTGTGTGTGTGTGTGTGTGTGTAGGGGGAGTAAACAGCTGACTCTGCTGGGACAGCCCTGCACCTCCGGAAGTATCATTATAATAACTGTGGGTTTTCCTTTTTTATTGTTTTCCACAATATCCCGATTCCTGGGCTGGAAATGGTGTCCTGATCTATAGGAAGAAGGGTCAAGTGGCATGACTCGTTAAGCATCAGTGACGTAAATATGAATGTTTGCATGATTTCATAATGATCAAAGCAGCAGCTGCTGTTTGTACGCAGAAAATCATAAGAAATAAGATGATTAGGGATATTTCATTGATTGATTGACTGATTTTCTTTGTTGCGCAACAGCTGCAGGATCATCCAAACTTGTGACATTCCAGGCCCATAGCTTTTGTATGCCACTAATAAGAAAATGCATTAAAAAAACTGAAAATGACTTTTTTACCATCCTGTGTTATGTCTGTAGTTCTATAAAGTTGTGACTCATAACGGGGGTCTCTGCTTCCCTTTCACCAAGGCAGGCTAAAAGCCTCAGATCCTGTTTCACAGCCTCTGTGTCAATTTGAACAAGACGCTGCGTAATTGGGTAACCACGTCACCGCTGGTCTCCCAGGAAGAGACCGGCGCAGCGCAGGTATACGGGCCAGTCAGGACCGGCTGTGCTTGGGCCATTATTTGGACGAGCGGCCATTAAGAGGCCTTGGTACTGTGCAACGCAGCAGGGTGCTCAACATCCGCACTGGAAACCGCACGGCTTGGTCCCTGCTTATCAGGCTGTCAATAAAACGAGATGGGCTGCAGCGGTCGGACCAGGTGCTGCCTTTCCCTTCCCACACAGCCCTGCTCTCCAGAAGCAGATCAGGCGTGAACGCAAATCTGTCCAGCCGGTTTCCCCTCTGCCGTCACCACGCTGCTGCTCTACGCCACCTCCCTCCCTCCTTCCCTTACGCACAAACACACACCTGCATACAAAAGCACGTTGACAGTTGCTTTCACACTTTAGTTTGGAAACAATTCTGCAGCTCAAATATTTCTAAAAATAAATTTTGCACGCAACTGTGTGATTCCATCATAGCGCATAAACGTGAATAAAAAAAGATAAATTAGTCTAAGTTTGTTTTCTGACACTTAACCACGTGGAGGCCCGCCTGTCTCAGACAAGTGTGGAAAACTTGAGTCGGGTTTTTGGAACATAAGATGCCAACTTCTGGTTCCCTCTGACGGATCAAACTGAAAACTAAATGTGTAATGATCGACCTCCCATCTCTAGCCATGCAGAACATTGTGCTGCCATAGCAAACGCCTCGTGAGCTTGTTTACAGTCGCTGTAGCAGGCAGGGGAAAATGTCCAGGGCACCAGCACGGTAGGTGGGACGCATTTTATCATCAGTAGAAGGTAAGTCAGTCACTTAGAGGTTAATTTATCTTTAAAATGTTTGAGATAAAACGCAATTCGCGCAAAAATTACTTGTTTTCTTGACATGTTCTGTGCCTTTTTGGTCTAAAAAGGCTTAATTTTGTCATGATGGATGTCTCCTGCAGCCTCAGCAGGCATGCGGTGCGTAAATATGTTTACACTGGTCACCTGCAAATCTCAGTAAAGTTGGTTAATCTTCCCACTCAGCGCGCACACGCTCCTTGCGTCTGTGTCCCTGTATTGAAGTGTTAAAATAAGTCGGTGTGTGTGCATGTTGGGTTTGGTGTGTGTTTAATCTTCATGCTCTCGGGCCTCGGATCGAGACATTACCAGAATATCCCCGGGGTGATTGGATGCAATTTGTCCGGAGCAGACAGGCACGTCCTGGGTGTTAGGAGTCCACTCTGTCTCAACGTGACAAGCCCAACTTCGATCTACGATCGCGTCTCAAAGTGCAGAAAGCGGAAATAGTCTACCCATTACCCCTTCTTGTCTTTTTTTTATATTTATTTAAAAAAACAAGATCATCAGTTTCCTGACAATGATGTTCATGCGTAATTTGGTAAACCTGTAAAATCTCAGAGAAACCTGTGCGCAGGACGCGTGGTCAATCAGGCTGCAGGGAGAAAGTCAAAATGAGGGGATTTGCCACGGGAAAAGGGAAACAAAAGACTGACACCTGCCATTAAGGCATCCCAGTGTTTGATTCTGATGCGTCGTGTTGGCAACAATAACGCTCCTGTTTGGCGCGAAGCTGAGTCGCCACATTTATCACTCACTTGCCAGGAGTGGCTAAAGTCAGTGTCCGTGTCGCGCTGCGAGCTGACAGGGGAACATGGGAGCTAACGAGGTTGTCAGATGTCCTGACTAGACAAATGAGATC